GGAATGCAGAAACGGAAAAGCAGCAAAGGAATGACGACCCTTGTGCCAGGAATATTGATCCTTTGATGGAGGAGTGACTCATTTTAACTACTGATTTATTATTTTTGTTTCCATGCAGTCTGGGGTTTGTGGCACCACTGAGATGAGTAATTAAAGCAATTTTGTGGGTTTGCAAACCCATACAGAGGCGAGGGAGAGGTAAAAGCTGGAATGTTTGTTTTACAGGATGGGCTGCTTTTCTAGCAGAGCTGCAGCTCCTCACATCACCCAGCCTTGCTCAGTATAGCTCTGAGATTTGGCTGCACTGTGTCCCTGCACTGCAAGGAGCAGGAAAATGGTATTTTAGGGAATATAGATATAGATGTATAGATACATCTAGAGGTAGATAGGAGGCAGGCTGAGAGCTGTGGGTGTTCAGCACATAGAGAAGGCTCCAGGGAGAACTTAAAAGCCCTTCCAGTGATCACCCAGCCTTGCTCAGTATAGCTCTGAGATTTGGCTGCACTGTGTCCCTGCACTGCAAGGAGCAGGAAAATGGTATTTTAGGGAATATAGATATAGATGTATAGATACATCTAGAGGTAGATAGGAGGCAGGCTGAGAGCTGTGGGTGTTCAGCACATAGAGAAGGCTCCAGGGAGAACTTAAAAGCCCTTCCAGTGACTAACTCCAAGAGAAGAGAGCTGGAGAGAGACTTTGGATAAGGAGTGACAGAACAAGGGGGAATAGCTTCCCACTGCCAGAGTGCAGGGTTAGATGGGATACTGGGAAAGAATTTCTTCCCTGTGAGGGTGGTGTGACACTGGCACAGGTTGCCCAGAGAAGCTGTGGCTGCTCCATCCCTGGAAGTGTTCCAGGCCAGGTTGGATGGGGCTTGAAGCAACCTGGTCAAGTGGAAGGTGTCCCTGCCCATGTCAGGGGGTGGAATTGGATGAGATTTATGGTACCTTCCAACCCAAACCATTCTGGGATTCTGTTCTAAGATTTATCATGGAGATTTGCTCTGGCTTGGTTTTTTTTGCTACCAAAAGCAGGTATTAAACCTTTCACTCAGATGCTCTTTTTTAGGACTCTTTTTTCCCACCTTCTTGCTGTTACACACAGAAGACAAGACCTTTTTGTCTGTACCAGCCCTGTGTCCATCAGCTCAGCTCATCTGAATCAATCTGTTTTCTAACTCTTGAGCAGCTGTGTACAACGTGACAGAGAGAGGGAAGGAACATCACAGCTTCCAGCTGTGTCATGCTTTCCTTCAACACAGACTAAATATCAGTGCTTTTTACAAAAAACACTGTATTTGCGTGCTCATCATCCAGCTTGTTGCTTCCCTTAGGCAGCTTGTCGACAACAGCACATGGTCCTTGAGCTGCAGATGCTCCATGTAGGGCTGCTGCCTAACCACAAATGCTTCTCACCTCCGTCTTGGACCCAGCCTGAACTCTGACTTCTCCTCTTCCCTTTTGTGTCAGGCAATGGCTCCTGCTCCCTCCAGGCTCCGGCTGGTTCCCTCGAGTGTTCCCAAAACCATGCAGTTTTCTGCTGTGCTCTGGCACATGTGTGCATGGATGTGATTTATTGTGGTGTTTCCCCTCACTAGACTTAATGATAAACACTTGAGGAATCACTGGGAGGCCTTGAAAGGGTTGATACTACATTTTTGTCACTTTTTTTGAGGGTACTTGTGCATGGAATTGAGTTTTGCAGAGCGAAGCTTTGGTTCTGAGTAGGATTCAGGCAGTGAGTCCTCTCTGAGGCAAGTGCTGGTGCTCCCCTGGCTGGTGCTAAGGGACTGCATGCAGGATTTACTGTTTTGGGAGCATCCATATGTGTGTTGCTAAATTCCAGATGTCTGGAGAACAGCAGACAAATTAAATATATCCTGGAAGATGCAGTGATGAACAGAGCAACACCCCAACAGACAGATTGAGCTCCAGAAACAAACCTGCCCTTTCCAGCCACATCAAATGCATTTTACCACAGCTCTGGGGGAAGAAATAGAAGAATTTTACAGAAAACCCTGAATCTTGCCCATCATCCAAGGCAGATAAACTGAGCAAGTTCTCTCTGCTCTATCTTTAATTTCCCTCTTGTCAGAGGTGCCTGGATGCTGCAGACACAAATTTCAAAATGTACACTCTTGCATGGATGTGCTTTTTTGCTGCAGAACTCATTTTGGGGCCAAAAGCTCTTAATTTCCCTGGGTGTCTTTGAGGGTTTGTCAAGCGTTATGTGCCCTGTGTGTTCCCCCTCTGTTTGCCTGGTCCTTTCCCATGGAGAGCACAGGGAATGCTCATGGAAGTTACCTGTGTTTCAGTGGTGCTTTTTTAAGATGAGATCTGGAAAAAGAGAATAAACACTCAGGTCTGGGTACACAGAGCAGATTCTGAGTCTGATTAGGCAACCCTACAAACGGGTATAGGGAAGATAAGTGTGCTGACTGCCTTAATCGTAGCTAATCTAATTAATTACAAGCTTCTAAGGTAGTTTTCTTTGCACTTTCAGGAGCAGCTCTGCTTGAGGGGATAATCATCTCAGAAGGTTCTTGCTGGAGCTTGAGCCTGGTCAGGGACACCCCTAAGCTGGCCCATGGTTTTATTGAAGTCAGGCAGCTTGCCTGCCTTTCTTCCATCTGAAACAGGAGAAAGGAAAACAATCTTTGTTTTCACTCCAAAACACAACAGTGAGAGAATTTGCTAATGGCTGTGTTTGCTGTTTGCAGGTGCATGTTACTATGATGCCAATCAGTCGATGTATGTGTTCGGGGGCTGCACACAGAGCAGCTGTAATGCTGCCTTCAACGACCTCTGGAGACTCGACCTCAACAGCAAGGAGTGGATACGGCCCCTGGCATCAGGTGAGAGGTGGCAGGTGTGCAGCTCCCCCTCCCACCTTGATTGGCTTTTACCTCATCCTCACAGCTGGCTGCTCATATTCTCTATTTCCCTGCATGCTTTGTCACTATCTCACTGGTTTTTGAGTTATGTCCTGAAAAAATCTGGAGTTTGTGGCAGACTCTGCATATTGTCATGCCCACAGCACTGCGCTGGGTTGTTTTTCCCTGGAGCAGCTTCTCAGTGCTGGTTCCTGCAGCAGGAGTGACACTTACCTGAGGCCACAAGAGCCTGCATTGATAAGGCTGAGAAAACTGGGATTCTTCAGACTGGAGAAGAGGAAGCTCCAGTGAGACATTAGAGCCCCTTCCAGTGTCTAAAGGGGCTACAAGAGAGCTGGAGAGGGACTTTGGACAAGAGCCTGGAGGGACAGGACAAGGGAGAAGGGCTACCCACTGCCAGAGGGCAGGGATAGGTGGGATATTGGGAAGGGATTCTTCCCTGTGAGGGGGCTGAGGGACTGGCACAGGTTGCCCAGGGCAGCGCTGGCTGCTCCATCCCTGGGAGTGTTCCAGGCCAGGTTGGATGGGGCTTGGAGCCACCTGGGCTAGTGGAGAGTGTTGCTGCCCGTGGCAGGGGTTGGAACTGGATAAGCTTTAAGGTCCTGTTCAGTGTTTCTATGATAAGAATCGTTGTTCCAAGGCTGTGTTGTTCTTTTCCTCACATTAGTAGCTGCCACTGCAGGTATTTTGAGGAGTGGAGGAGACAAGCCTGTGCGAGCTGCCCACAGCCAGCAGGAGAGCATGGGAAAGCAGGTACATTCCTGCAGTCCACGTGCCCTCAGCAAGGCAGGAGAACGCCACAAATTTTTTTCCACACTGGATTTTGTACTCAGAATATCACCCACAGCACATTCATTATCCTCATATTTCTGAATTTGATTGAAATAATTTTGAGAGAAACAGAAGAAGTGGGGGAACAAAAAGAATTGAGGGGTGGAGAAATCAGTGTTAAAACAGGTGTTTTGGCAGAAACTTGTCATTAAGGAAAAGGAGGAAGAGAAGGAGCTCAACATTCACCAAGCACTTGCTGACCTCCTGCTTGGCCACGGACTCACTCCCTCCCTCCCTGCCTCATGTGCTCTAAGTATTGTGGATTGCACAGCTTTTGTTTAAAGTCGTATTTTCTTGTCTGACACTTGCAAGTCCTCCAGACTCCAGATGTCTCTGCACACTGGTTGTATCTGGGAATTTTCAGATGTCACTTCTAACTGTTAACACGTCCCTTGGTGCTTGGTGACAGCTTGCTGGATATCAGTCCACACTTATCTTCATGTTTTGGTTTGAGTTTTGCACTGCACATCCCCTGTATGATGCCCACAGGTGAGAATTAAGCAGTCGTGGGCTTAAAATGGAGAAAACAAACTGCAGCCTCACATACGTGCAGACTGGCTCTTGCCCTTCCTCCTTCCCTGCCTTAGCACTCTCCCTCCGCACGGGGTGGCGTGGCATAAACAGGATACCGGGTTCTGCAGACCTCTGCTCTGACCCAGGACATCTGTTCTTGCAGCCAAGCAAGTTCTTCCGTCGGATTGAATGCGGGGCATGACTCGCAGCCGCGCGGAGACCAGCGCCGGCTCTGCTCAGTTACTCTGTTGGTATTTCGCAAAGTCAAATTCCCACTGCCTTCCAAACAAATAACACTTTTAAAAGAATGAGTCCTGTGGGAATATGTGTCAGAGTTAAGTCTCATGGGAAGATTCGAGGAAATATTTCTGCATGCTGTCATGAGCTCGTACCTCGAGATGGGATTGCAACTGAAACTCAAGGCAGTCTCAGGAACAGAGAGCGCTCTTGTTCCTCATCTTCACAGGAGATGAGTCACCCCATGCTTGTGCCCCTGGTGGTATCTTACGCATAGCTCCTGCTCTTTTCTTTAGGTGCCCTTAACCAGAGGGTTGGCACCCAGTGCATGGGAAAGAATAGTGGCTGGAGGGGGCAAAAGCAGAGAGCTTTGAAGTCCAGGACTGGGATGTAAACGAGGCAGGAGGGTTGTTTTAAAACAGAAGAGTTGACGTTGATCGATTAATGCTTCATTGTGCGTGCAGGCTAATTGCTTGTGGAGGAGTTCCCACACCTGGCCCTACAGACTCTGTAGGGTAGGTCTTGCTCTAGAGTAAGACCCGCTCTTTCCCAAGGCCAGTTCCTGCTCAGAGAGGTTTGATCACACTTGGCATGTACCCCTGTTAAGCTTCTTATCTAATGAGTCCTGCATAGGGCTGCCTAAAGGGAATGGGGGCATGGTGTCTTGGATGTAGCTTAGGTGAACTGGAATAACTTCATCCCTTTTCCCTCTCTGAAGGGCTTTTCCAGGAGAAAACACCCTTTCTTTGTTGTTTGTTCCTACCTGTTTTTGTTAGGGTTTTCTAGCTTGCAGGCATTAGATGACGTCAGAGCTGGATAATTCATCTCCAGCCCCAGCTGCTGTGCTTCATCTCAGAGTAAATATTTAGCCTTCAAAGAAATAATTGGCCCAGGTTTCTTTAGTCTCAGAGACGGAGGAGGAAGATAATTACTTCGAAACCTCAAAAATTAGGGTTTTTTGAAGTATTTTTTTGCTTAGATCTGAAACAATGGCATTGACTTGCGACTGATGAGGCTGAAGCAGCACAAGAGAGTTAATGCCTGGATTTTATGTAGAGCTTTTGGTGGGGCATAATGCTCTGCAAAGGAGGGTGTCAGTCAGCAGGATC